TATCCGAGGTTTACTGCTCCCCTTGTACAAAGAACCACGTGACTGTATTTCAGCCAGCAATGTTTTCTTTTGCCTTCAGAAATCAGGAGGAGACAATACCACAGAAGTCTATGAGATCCATGTGAAACTTGTTTAGCCAGCGTGGATTGGGATTTACATTCCAAATGCATAATGAGTACAGAGACATAAAGATGTGGACACACAACGCTATTAAGCTCTTGAAGATTATTCCAGTCTCACTCAATATCCTTGCCCTTTCTTAATGATGTTGGCTTTATATGAACTACAGCCTTTAACAAAGCTCGGTGCCAACAGGAACCAGCAACATCACAGAGGCTGAGTGGCAGCCCTGTGTAGTCCCTTGTGTTAGAGCCCTGCACAGACTGTATCGTTTTTCCTCAATGGAAGAGGCAAGTGTTTATCTGGGAAGCAGTTCACATCATGGACAATAGGGAACTGTTTAGCTTTCCACAAATAGGCTAGTATGCAACTTCCGAGCAGTCTCCAAGGAAAACTTTGGAGCACTAGCCATGCCTTTCCAGCAGGGATTTCATGTAAAGTAGTTAATGCCCCACATCCTTCATCTTGATTTATTTCTGCTTCATCTTTGTTTCAAAGTGCTTGCCTCACTTCAAACACAACGTGGGGCTCATCTCTGTGAATATGCACTTTGATCGCTGGGGACTCCAGATTCCTATCGGCCGCTCAGACATAAACAGGGATGTGCTGTCTCGGCAAAGGTATTTCTGTGACTGCCTTTATTTTTCCAAGAGTCATTTGGAAATGCGAAGCTGGGGATTGATGACAGGGGATTCAAATCTAGTGGCTAGATAGGGCATTCGATATTGGAGCTCTTGGATTTTGAATGCCACAGAATTGTTGCAGGACAGCAAGAAAACTCTAGTATCCCTGACTTGACACATTCCCTGGGAGTGAATGGAGGGAGGATTTGATGAGCTCTTGCCACAAGTGGGCTCCAATTTCTCTGCAAACTGCCACAGGTTGAGTGACACACTCACAGATTTGAGTTGGTGTGACTTTCCATACTGTGTAAGAGTGGAGTAATCTCCAAATACTACATGAATATTCATCCTCTGTGGGACCAACTTTTTTCTTGCTAGAAGTCAATGGGAGTTGTGTTTGGTATAAATTTAGAATAATTCTCAGTGCTAATAAAAGATTCGTTCTATAGTGATACTACAGGTGAGATAGATGGACAGACAAGTCCAAAGCAGTGATGATGGGGTGAAATAACCCAGTTGTTTCTGCAGATCCATGATAAACTCTAGTTTCACATCTGCCATAGTGGCAAAGATCTTAGTTGCATAAGTACAAGACTACAGTCCATCGGACTACCAGGCTGAACATGAGATCAAGATGAGGGCCAGAGAAGATAATTCAGTTTCTCTTAGAAATTCCACATGCCCAAACCTTTCTATGTAAATTAGCATTTGTCAAATCTAAAATTAGATTACTATAGCAAGGCATTTTTAGTCAGGAAATCGTCCTCATTCAGGACATTCTTCCATCATATCAATTCACAGCTACTACATCCACATCTATATACAGCATTTGATCCCCTTTTCCTCCCCCATCGTGTATTTATTCACAGGTCCATTTTTCATTCTCTCTGGAATGTAGAGCATTTGGGAGCGTAGGTGGAAAGCCAAAGTCTTTCAACACCCATTAATAGAAATTTGTTTTATTAATTAGGTTTGTGGGGGGAAAAAAAAAATAAAAGAGCTGATCCTGTGCTCTGAAAGCATGAATCACTGTCATGCACATTAGAAGACATGCCCTATGAGACACTAGAGGCTGCCTCAGATAGAATTAGTGACTGAGCTGCTTTTTTTGGGAAGTCCTGAATCATCAAACATAGCAGTTTAATCCCCAGGAAATGGGGAAGCATACTGGCATGATATTCACTTGCATGGAACATGAGCTCCAGAGAAGGGTGAAGCTCCAAATGTTCTGGAGATCAGCTTAACTTGTGGAAGGATTTTAACACTTGCAAACTTCTCTGAAGTATCTGGGCAAAGTATTTCCAGCATATGATTTAGTGGATGAATTAAACTCTTTACATACTTCACAGATTATATGGGAGTTTACTTTGACTTCTAATAAAAATGATTCAATGATTGTGACATGAAAATCTGTTCTAGCTTCTAAGTTATTTATTGTGACAAATGCTTCATGTATTCACCATTCTTAATTTCCTACTCCTGTCATAAAAAGTTATTTTTTGGACTACTTCCTGCTTTTAGCATTCACTGGGAAGAACAGTTGAGATGAATACTCAATAATAAGCATATTTCTTAACCTGACCTTTAACCTTGGCTCTCCTAAAGGGAGAGGCATGTAGTTATTTCAGACCAAAATCTGATCATGGCCAAAGGTCACCTGAATGCCTTTCATCCACTTCATTGTGAAGCTACCTGGCTTGGCTCAGATACCATAAGCTGTTAAAGGTGAGACTGCTTATTTTGCACTAAAGTGGACAAAAATGGCACAAGATCATATCTGCCATGTCTCTAAGGATGACCCTCTGTTTACAGAGATACTCAGAACAGGTTCAAACAGCAATTTTCACAAATATCAATAAGCTGCCAGCATGCAAAAATGCTTGGGATTATACACATGCTGAACAAAATTGTCCTACTGACTGCAACACAAGTCACAGACCTCCTAGCTGAAGGTAAATAAGTTAGCTCTGGATGTGGAAAAGCTATCTGGCCTAACGTGTGAGGTCTCTTTGCCTGACAACATGATAGTGAAGGTAAGGAAAGTCGGCAGCCCACAGACAAAGTGACAGCAAACAGACCACAAACTTCCTTAGATAAACGACAGTCTTTCAAGCCACGCGATACCACTTGATACCTCTGTGCCCCTTGAGCAGTTACAAAGTGCAGCTGTACTTCAGCCCAGATTGATATCACTTGGGAAGGAGGCCATCAATCCATGGGACAAGTGCAGGCTGAATACACAAACAGAAAATTCACCCAAACTCACTCTTTCAGTATAATGTTGGAGAGAGGATGAGACAATTTTTCCACAGTGTTAATTGGGTTCAACAGCATTGTATGGTTTGAATCCAGTGTCAAAGTCCTCCAAGCAGGAAATAAATTCATCTCACAAAATTGTTAGTCATCTAAATCTAGCCAGAGATCTACTGCAAGCAAGCTGGGCAGGGTTTTCCCATAACACGGGAATCTAAGACCCATGAACCCTTCTCATTTTCTGTTGCCTCCATACAACTATGTAAACATCTCAGGTTCCAGCTGTTTCTGTTATGGCTCCTTACAATCGAAGACAAGGTAAAAAACATGATTCAACTGTTCAATTCCTTTTCAGCAACAATCTCATGATGTCCCTACTCTAGAAGGTGGACACTGGCATTGACGGAAACCTTGCTGTTGATTTCAGGACAGTTTTGATTAACTTTATTTCTAGTAGCAATGGACCAGAATTTTAGTCTTATACTAATGACCTCAAGGTGAAAAGATCTGCACTAGACTTGCCTGGAAACAGAAAAGAGATGAAAAATCTACTTCCCATGTGGAAACTAGAATTCCAAAATGTGAGTATAAAATAATCAAAATAGTAATTAGTTCTGGTCTTTTGAAGTTTCTAGTGTTCTGTAAGATGACTGTTAGCCACAGTTTACAAAGTACAAGATACAAGTCTCTTAAAACTAGTGAGCTGCTAAAAACCCAGAAATTATAGGATCACTCTCAGGATAGTCCAGCAAGCAAACCCTCCTTTGGCAAAAAAAACCAGGCTCAGCTTCCCCAGTGGTTCTCTGTGCAAGTTCCCAAGGAACAGAATCGTATGGAATATGCAGCAAAAGATAAAATCTGATTACAGAGAAAAGTGAATGTCCCATTGGAAAAATCATTCAAACAAAATTCTTGAGAAGTTCACTTCTGTATTCTTTCATTAACACTATAAATCATCCTAGTCTTTCATGGAAATTTTTCTAGCAAGTTGGTAAATTCTACTCTTTCAGTTGTCATCCAGTGTTTAAAGGTGGCTTAAAGAACATGCAGACATACTGGTCCTAAGTAATGAGTTGCTCAGGAAGTGACAGGATAATTAAGTTTCCATGGCTCAGAACTCTTAAGTTAGCTTTGCTTCTCTACTATGTCTTGGAGCTTTTCTTTGATTTCTTTCCTCCTAATCATTACTTTGATTGGTTCAAACCCTATGCTTTGTGGCTGAAAATAATTACAGATACAAAGCAATTAAATCACAAAGGAGGATATTTTAAAGACACATGGGAATCCCTTGCAAATGTAATGCACATATTTTCATGACTAAATATTTTAAGCATTAAATAATTATATTCTCCAGTGTTGGATGAGGCAGTAAATTTGCCAATGTATGCAGATGAGCCTTATTTAATCCCTATATGTCTTATACTGCAAATTATACTGTCAGAGAAAAACCCTAAATTATGGGTTTGCTTCTCTTCTGAGGGCAAGGGAGCTAGTGAAGGGAACATAATTTCAGATTCAGATCAAATAAGTGATCTACAGATTTAAAATAAGATTAGGAAGAATTGCAGCATCCCAACAGGAAAATTACTTCACCCACCCACCCACCCAAAAGAAATTGCATGCATTTTTCCCTGTCTCAGAAGAGATGTGATCCAGAATAGGCTAACATCTCACTAGCTCTTCGTTTGTCTCAATTAGTTCAGTTGTTCTCAATGACAGAGTCATCTTTCATAATCTTTTTATGCTTCTCTTAATAACATCTTACAAATTTCCGTCCAATTCTAACACTTCTCCAAGCAAGTTCTGAACATTAACAGCTAATCAGTCCAGGAGGTATGAGACTAGATTAGCAGTGCATGGCTAGCAAGAGAAAACCAAGTCATTTGGGCATCCCAAGGAACTCAGCATTTGCTTGGTCACTCCTGAAGGCTTTGGAAGCATCCACAGGTTTCTGGGAAGGAACCTATCATATTTCATTTTACCAACTTGCAACTGAGGAAGAAAATTATATCATTTTTTTTCCCATTTGACTGTGTACACCCCCTCGCAGATATGACCTTCCATAAAAGTTCATGGATCCTGGTGGAGGGCTTTGCTGAATCACGGTGTGCACTGCGTGTACTTTCATCCTATGGAAGAGCAAAGAAACCTCCACTAAGAGACACTGCTGATGCAGGGGAGCACAGATCATACTTGGAGAATGCGAAAAGGAGAAGGGGCAAACACTTTGCTGCACAGAGAAGGAAAAAAACAGCAAAGATGCATCGCTGAGAGTGGGCCAGAAAGTTCAAACATAATGAGCAAGGGTAATTAATTTCTACAGAAGAGTTCTGAGAGTCTACAATAAACTACAGAAATAAAAGCTTGCTATGCATTCTCTCATTCTGCAAGAAGGTAGAATTGAGCATAACATCTGAAAGAGCAGTCTGATGGAAATGAGCACTACTGTGTGTTTTTCTGGCCCAGAAAACCGTGCGCAGTATTTCAAGGCTTGGCGCATGGCAGAAGGTCAAAGCCGATTCTGAGAACTCAGTAACAATAGAGTCATCACTGGACACAGGTGCTTCCTGAATTGATCTTGCAATCTGTCTGTTTCCAATTAAATCTGAAGCAGCTGTGGCCTTTTATCTACTCAAATCATCAGAATCCATCTGAGGTGAAACTTTCTCCTACCTCTTCTTCTTGCTGCACCCCAAGCACACAGCTCTGCTTTCTGAAGAGAAAGAGAGGCAGGGACAGCCAATTGGCAGAAGTAAGGGGGAAAAAATTGCCATTTTTATCTTAGGGCAAAATAATGAGATACTGATCCAGCTGTTCACTTTCCAGTGCATTTGTTTGTGGGCCACAAAGAGAGCCAGCAAAATGACAAGAAAATCTGAATGCTGTTGAAGGTTTCCAGGCAAACAGATTCAGGACACTTTCCCTCAGGCTACAAAATAAACAAACAAAGCCAACACGAGGATAAGTTCTCCAGTGTTTACGGCATTGTTCTCTGCTCTGAGTATGATAGGATTTCTTTTACAGAGGGGATCAAACTTTAAAGCAGTTATTTTCACTAGTATGCTAAGGGGATCTTAGGAAAGGCTTCAGATGAGTATGAGGCCTCAAGGGAGATCAACAGGAGTCAGGTGATTTTGGAAATCCAGCAGGTAACAGCTCACAAACAGCTCCACAGCAGCTAAATGTAGTATATCTGATTTCTGCCTCCACAGATCTTTGGTTCTGGAGCCATCCAAACCAGATTTCTGTGATGTTGGAGCACCTGGGGGTCCCCAGCTGTGTGTGAGGCACTTCCACAGAATCACAGAGCAGTTGAGGGACCTCCAGAGAACATCTAGTCCAACACCCTGCTCAAGCAGGCACACCTAGAGCATGGGGCACAGGGCAGCACCCAGGTGGATTTTGAAGACCTCCGGAGAAGGAGACTCCACAACCTCTCTGGGCAGCCTGTTCCAGGACTCTGTCACTGTCACAGTAAAGGACTTCTTCCTCACATGGAGATGGAACTTCCTGTGTTTCAATTTGTACTCATTACCCCTTGTCCCTGTCACTGGCCACCACTGAGAAGAATTTGGCCCCATCCTCTTTACATTCTTCCCTCAAGTATTTTTACATGTCGAGAAGATCCCCCTCAATCTTCTCTTTTCTTCTCATGCTTCCCAGACTACAAAGCTGGCTGTCCTCCTAAATGCCTGGAGGTCACACCACTGAACAGCCAGTAAAGTCCAGGGGGCTCCCAGCATGACTGATGGGCTGCCCCACTTTCCTGCTCCCCAGACAGGAGCATGGTAAAATGGTAAAATGGCCTAAATTTCAGATGAGCAGAGAGCTGGAGAACGTAAGTATTTTGGTGCTTCCAATGAAAGGTCTGGAATTTCCAGCCTTTCTATTTTAAAAACTGAAGACATCAGACTTCTCTCCTGATTTAAAATAAATTAAAAATGCTCCTTTTCCCTCAAAAAATAATCTTATTTTTGTTGCTGGATGGAAATCCCATGTCTTGGCCACCTCCTCTAGCCTGCCAGGGTCTCACTTTACTTTTCTCTGGCATCTTAAGAAAGGAAGATCTTGGCTCAAAGTTGTGTTTGTCACTAGATGACAGAAATCTGAGACTCTAGGCATTCTTTTCTGTTGACTTAATAAGGAGACATTTCACAACCTGTGCTCAGCATTTTGGACACAGAAAGCCAGCAGTCTTCTGGCTTTACCCTGGTGGTATGTAACTGCCAGCATGAGCAACTTTGATATGTGTCCTGTCTAATTCTTAAACCTTTTCTGCTACACAGGAATTCTTTCTGAAATGGAGAAGGGTGGCAGAGCCTAAGTGAAATGATACCACCCTACCTGTTTATGAATATATTGAGAGCACTGCTTCCTTATTACTGACTAGTAATTATAATCATATTATTCTAGGAGCAAAGATGTTACAGAGAAATAATGTTCATTCTTTTGCCAAATCGTTATTACTAAAAAGTAGAATGTAGCATGACTGTTTTGCTAAAGTCACTTCCATCCATCATTTTAAATGATGGAACTTCTGACTTAACCTGAGAAAAAACGTCTGGGAACTTACTGTCCAGAAATCATTGGTATTCAATTTAAACCATTTTTAGATTCCCTGTGTTTTATCTCTAAGAGTTTCTATGTGCCACCTCAGTTTGTTCCCTGTGGTCCTTCTGGGCACACTCCATGCATAATAATCCTTTTCAGAATTCCCTTGGCCAAAATACAAGCATGCAGTTGCTCCAGTTCTTCCCAAACCTTCTATTTTCTCTGTGTGCTGTCAACCCCCACTACTTTATAAATTACAGTCCAGCTCATCTTCCCTGAACAAGTTCCAATTTTTCAATTGTCAATGCCAGAATGGAGTGCAATGGGCTTGACTCCCTTATACAACTTATCTGGAAGTAAATCAGGAAAATCTCTCTTGTGTTTAAGCAGAGGACAGAAAGACCTGTTATATCATGTATAGCTCCATAGGTATCAAGACATAAACTATCTCTGTGATCCATAAAAACGTATCCTGGGAAGTAGTTAAAAATCTCTTCCTAACTTCTATATTTTTATTCCACGTATACACATTCAGTATAGATACTACCTCTAATCAATTCCTCTTAATTGCCCTTACGTCTGTTTTCAGATGTTTTTGATCACTTAAAAATGAAAGAGGAGAGCAAAAAAAGGACGTGTAGATAAAGAGGCTTATCAACAACGTAACCCCAGCAACACTAAACAGTAACCATCAAGCCCTTTGGAATATGCTACCAATCTTTGTCAAAACTGTTCGAGTAGACTGAATACGTGTCCTTTGCAGCTTGACCAGAAATCATCAAATGTAGGTTATTCCAAAGGAAGAGAGAAAGCATAGTTTGCAGCAATTCCCTCTTTTCTACCATGAGCTGAGATGAAGCATTTTTGATGTCTATGGCACCAGCAGTAGGACAATGAAAACAAGATCTCTGAAGGACCTCTTTGGGAGTTCTGTCTATCCTTTCTACTGTTTCTATGTTTTGAGTAATCCAATTCAGTGGCAATTCTGAATTTCTTCAAAATGTCAATTATTTTTCTTTATGTATTCTTAAAGATATTGAGTAATGCTTCATTTAAGGCTGATCTGTTTGGATCATCAGACCAAAGGAACACTTATCAGTAATCATCAGTAAACCAGCTAATCGTTATGGGAACTAATCACACATCTTCTCTCAACTCAGGACAATGTTAATGCACATCAGTATATCTTTTAATAAAGTTTCATATGCTCACTGTCCAGGACAGATCCCACTGGAGTTGGGATACCAGTCTAATACGTGGCCAGCCTGTTACACACAGTAACCTGAATCTGGGTACAGAAATTAGCATCAGTAGGATAATTCAATGGAGGACACATGCACAGTTCGAGGTAGCAATCCTCAAACAAAAATTGGTTCACGTACCCTAGAGATTGACAATTTTAGGAATGACTGCATGAACAAGTAACACCACCATTGCAAGGGTGGGGAAATGCATGCACAGAGGTGTCCCACGTCGCAAACAGGTCAGCATTAATGGGTAGCATTGTTTCAGGTTTCCTTTCATATTACCTCAGCCTATGGTGATGTGTATAGACATAATCTAAGATCATGCAGAACAGAGTCTATTTTTGGCCATATATCACAATACTATGTGTTTCTCACTCTCACTTCTCAAAGACGTGAACAGTCAATAAACTAATAGTTTCACAATTTCCAGTGGAACATTTTTCACAGTAAGATGATCCCTTCAACTAAATGAAAATTGCTGTGGAAAGTATCTGTCTCCCTGAAAGGAAAGTTTGTCAGAAATCTAAGAAATGTATATGTCAGCTGTTTTGGTATTGTTTGTTGACTTTTTTTTTCTGCTTTGTTGCATTTTTAGACACATGGGTACAAAGGCATTGTTAATTTTAGCCAATACTTTTTCCAGCTCCAACCAGTTACAGTGCTTACCCTGTGTCACGCTGACTTCTATCCCTCTGCCACAAGGATTTCTTTAACCTCATCTATATATATACTCTTCCTTGTGTCTGTTTTTATTTCCTTTCCCCCTGCTGTTATTTAAGACTGCACTTTTATTGCACAACACACTCCAAGAAGCATTTAGGATAAACTCTCTGTCAAAGATACTTATGTACAATTGAGCTTATTACATTCTATATGAATCATTGAGGGTGTTACAATAAAGTTAAATCAGCCAGATTTTCAAGCTATATTAAACATAGCTCTTCCAGATACGGTCTGCTAGTCCTGCAATTAATCCTCCATATTAAAACTCACCTCATATTGGATCATGTCAAGTCTGCCCCACCAGGGACAGAAGTATGCTGCTCACATGCATGCTTATGAGGATAGCAATCCTATGATGGAGCAATCTCAGCCAATTTTTATATGCGGAATGCAGGGGAAAGGTTAACTTTGTACAGGCCAGATGATCTCTCAGCTAACCATTCCTGTTCTATTTTCTGTAATACCTTTGAACCTTAAGTAGACAAAAAGCTTAAATAAATTGAGTAAAACTGAAATCCTACCTGAAGAAGAACAGCCTGGCATGGAAAGATGTGAAAATATAAGGTTGGTGGTACTTTACTACCCTTCATTGTAGAGGCAACTTAAAGCCCCAGACAGGAAAGACCAGATAGCCATGGGAAAAAATGAACCAGAACAAGATGTTCTTAGAAGACAGAGAGAGTCTGTGGAGTCTGTGGTGTTCCTGATCTGGTACAGTTAAGCAGCTGTGACATGGATTAAATTCACACGTGCAAAAACAGCCAGTGAAGATTCATGTGTTTCCAAATATACTATATGGATGCTTTACAGCGCACTTTTTATCTGGAACTTGGATGGGGAAGGGAGGTAGCCTTGTAGCCTCACCTTTTTCCTATATAATAAGGTATCGTAGTCATAGAAAGAGGAAGAGTAAAAAGAAGATAAGAAATGGGTTAGTAATAGCTGGGGAACTGCTTACTTTCCAATTGGTTGTCCAGGAGGGGTGTGCTCCACTTCAAATCCTGCTTGTCTCAGTACATCAATCACAGTGTTGTTACCCAGGAAGTGACCTAAAATACAGGTGGAAAATAGCACTGTCAATCAAATAGCTCCTCACACTCATTTGATTTTCCTCCTTTAGAAATAACAGACTTGAGAGGTTATGAGAAGCTAGACTACCTCAAAAAGCAAGAAAGTCACATCATGCAATTTACTGGAGTTCAGACTCAACTATTCACAACTTAGCTCATTGTAGTCTTTGGCAGTGGGCAACAGTAGCCAGCATACAGCCTGATACGAGCTCCTTTCATCCCATTTTCCTATACTTCCCCTCATGTGCTCAAGGGACTGGGTAGATAAAAGAAAGACTTTTATTTTAAACACTACTCTATTGTAAAAGAGTATCCAGATTGCTAGGAATCATCTTCTACTGCAGCAAATGAACTTCTTACATGGGTATTAGAATGACTCTGCTACGGTGCAAAGATTGCTAGGGCTTTGACTCATATGTTGGAACAACTTACAGCTCCAGATGTCCACCCTGCCCATCATCATTCACAAACATCTGCTTATGAAGTAGCTCTACATGCAGCTCAGTGCTTATATCCACCTAAAACATCAGCTTACAAATGGCATTGGTTCAGCAACTGCTTCATCAACCATGCAGCCATCTGCACAAGAAGGCTGGGAAGAGCTGGCGTAGTAACCTTATCTCTCCTCAAATGTGAAGATTTAGCCCTGTAAATCAGGGCACTTCACTGGAAGTGTAAAGGTTGCATTCCTATTCACAAAAGTAACAAAGAGCCCAGTAAGTATTGTGGCAAGTATGGGCCTTGAAAGAGTTTACTTAAGGGAATCCTAGACACTTGAGGCCTGAAGCAAATCCTACTGAAGTCAATGGAAATCCTCAAAGGTCTTTGAATACAGACTTAATAAAGCAGTGTAATCCCTCCAAAACTTTCAACTTATTGTCAGCCTCACATTGTTTTCAGGGTATGTCTAGAGATGTAAAGAACACAGGAACTCAACTACTAGGTCTGCACAGTCCAGTAACCTGTGTCCAACTGTGGCCCGCAGTGAATGCTAAATGTACATAAATGTATACACGAACCAAACTGGGAAAGTACAAAATGATCCTCCTCCATAATGTCCTCTTAACTTTAGCTCTGACAGGCTGGATGACCCTCATTTACACCCAGGTTACCATGTCTAAATGCCAGCTCTGAAAAGACCAAACCACCACGAACGCTTAATTCTCTGCCTCCATGTACTTTCTGCCTCTGTAACATCCTGTGGCAGAGCATTTCACCACATACCCTGTGTAAAATATGCTCCTTTCATTTGCTTTAACGTGCTCTTTGGAGAACTTGTGTCTGTGAGAAGCACAGCCCATGTGCTTGCCAGGTGATGCCCGCAGCTGCCCGGCTTCACAGCAGAACCAAATGCCGCACCATGGCAGAACCAGATGCTTTACACATAAAAAAACAAGGCCAACAGGACATGACTGAGCCTTTCTCTATTCATATTATCATATAAGGAAGCTGGCGTAGCTGTGAGCAGAATCAACCTTTACCTATATTGCACAAAGAGAGCCGCTATGAATTTGAGGGTAATTCAGTCACCAGTTTTCCTTAAGCCTGGGTCTTTCTGCTAACATTGCCAACAAGGGCGCTAATTCATATCAGTTGTGAGAATGATGTAGTTGTATGGCTCTTACTGTAACTTGCAAGCACTGGTAAGAGCTTTTAGCCAAAAGACTTCTCTTTAAATGATTAAACGTACATTTGCAGGGCCCTAACGCGTTCCAGGATTCCTCTACTTCCTTTTAAGAAAACTCAAAATTTGATTTTCCCCTGACTAACTTGCTCATAACAAAAGCCAAGGGAGCAGAAAGCAGTCCCAAAAATGTGTTACACACACTCAGAGATTCAAGCAACAAGACATTTGTGAGTGATTAACTAGATTTGATCATATCCTGGTTTTTAATGTAGGGGCCAAGGCAAACAAAGGCCCCGATTCTGGCATTGGCAAAGTGACATTGTGGAGTCAAGGTCAAAGGTGTCAAGGTCAAAGATGTTTCTGTGTCCATGTTTCAATGGTCTAGTTTCCTTTAACTAGAGCCTTAAATGCCAAGAGATTTCTTAATGGAATTAACTGTCCTGAATCCATCCAATCTTTGACATCATGACAGTAAAAAAGAATCCAAATTTAAGTTCCTTAAATACAGAAGAAAAAAAAAAAGTAACTAAGCAAAAACTCTGAATTCTCATCCATAAAACCAATGGACTGTCAGCAATGTCAGCTTCACAGAAAAGTCCTGAGAATCCCAAAACGCGATAACCTTGTGGCCTTCTCATTCTTGGCCTCTGTGCTGAGACCATGATCAAAGCTGCTAATTTGTTGGCTTAGTGATCTTCTGCTGTGTATGAATGCAGAGGAAAACATGGACTATCTCATGTGTTTTCCACTCCTTTTTTGCGATGCACAAAGAATTTTTCTTTCTATGTTACCCCAAACCTAAAACATCAAACTCAAAACACTTCAGAATTGGCACAGGTATATGCTAGTGATAACAATATTTATCATGCAGACACCTGCCCAACAAGAGATTTCTTGATATAGAAGTCATTGGTTTCAAATGCAATGTATTACTGAAGTGAGATAAAGCCATAGCAGAAATGTAACTGTGATACATGTTTTCAAATGGTAATTTTTCCTAAGACTTTCAGTCCTCAGCCATACTATTCACTTGGGAGCCGTTCTCCAAGTATTTGCGACCTTGTGTTGAAATTGGACTGAAATTCTGGGGGAAACAAGGAAGTTCCTGCTGAGCTGGTATCCATCTGGGTAGGAGAGGAAACATTCCCAGGACCTTTTCTGAGATTACAGACTGAATTTCCATATCACAAATCTTACCCTTTGCTCCAAGCTCAATATTTTTTTCTTTAATTCTGCCTTTCGTAACATGAAGGAATAGCAAAATATCTCTTCTCATTTTTGAAAAAAAAGAAGTCCCTTCAATTCTGAATAAATGAAAATCTTCCTTAAAAACTTGAATGTAAAACACACCTAATTTGATTCAAAATTCAACACATAGTTATGTGTTTGCAATGCCCCAGTTCAACACAAAGAAACAAACAATGAGTAAAACCAAAGAGAAACAAACAACTTCAAGCCTGACCTCCAAATAGTTCTCTATTATGCAAACATAAAGCACAGCCTGAAGCTTTAAAAATTCAGGATATTGCATTAACAGGTCTTTGCAAAATCTCACCTTCAGACTCAGCATAAAACTTTCCTATTTGCATTATCCTATATACATCTGGTAAATTGTCATCCTTCTCACCTTCAGATTCTCCTGTAAACATGTACATTTTTTCATGGATCGCAGGACTTTTATGCTGACTGACTCTGTCCTTCTAACCATCTTGTCCTCAATTATAATTCCCATATTGTGTTTGTTTTTGTATCCATCTTTTATTTTACCTTGTAAACACTATTGTGGCCAACTCATTATTTCACTGTGATAACAGAAGCAACTTGAAGATACACATGTCAAACCCAACACGTTATGCTACTTTCAACAGTCCTTCCAGCCCCTCCTGCCCAGACTGATGCCCTCCCAACAGTGGGAGCTGCCCAGAAGATGGAGGAGCAGCTATCAGGAAAGATGGAGCAGAACAGAGGATGAAGAACAGAAAAATGTTAAAGCAATGACATATTCAGTCTGACCAAAAGTCCAACTAGCCCAATAGAGAGCTTAGCATCCAAGAAAAAAACGTAAACATTGTAAGTGCAGCTGATATTTCTCCTGTGTTCTCATCTCACCATTTGTGGCTGAAGAACAAATGAGTTGGATATGCAATTCACTCTCTGCTCTCCATCCTTCGCTGTCTTACACATGTCCCGTCTCATTTCAGACCCACAGAAATATGCGGCATTCAGAGCAAAGGCAATTGTGGCAAAGAATTTCACAGGATCAGAGCGAAATAGCTGGAATAAGAAGCTTTGAGGAGAAAGGTGGCACTTGAGAGGCCCAATGAAGGTGGGTAGAATGCAACCTGAATGAAATCTGATACTCTTGGTTCACTGCCGCTTACTGTCCTGCACCAAAGTTAGTAACTGTTATACATAAATATGCACACACAGACACAAACATATACGTACACACACACATACATATATTATATATATGTACATGTTCTGCTAATAACTTTCTAAAATTTCTATGCCTGGAAAATTTCATTACAAAGGGGGAAAAAAAAGAAGAGCTAGGGCGAAAAAAAAGAAGAGCTATTGAAAAGCTTGTGTGTCCAGAGGTAGAGCTGAGAGACTAGAGACAGAAGAATGCTCTTGCCTTGCTGTCATTATTCCTTCTGCAGTCTGAACCTGGATAAACTACTGATGCAGTCTTAACCAAATCTACCTTGACAGCAGATCAAAACTGGATTGTAGAGGTCAGAATATTGATTGCCTTGGGAATTCCATGCAAGTGGAGAAAGACAAGAGAAAGCAGGCAAGAAAGATTTTCTAGGTAAAGACTTAAAGGGGAAGTCCGTACTCGCGCATGGAGATGTGCTCTACAGTCTTTAGCAATTTCAGTGAAAATATACTGATTTCCTGCAAGCAAAACATAACACAAAAGGATCAATCCACTATGCATTTGCACATAAGAAATTCATGTCAATGCAAGGCAAATTCCAAAGTATGAGTGGCCAACATATTCTTAAATAGAACGTTGGGATAAAATACCCAGTTAACAGGTCTCAGGTTGCTACCTACTAATATCTTAAATTTGCTCTCAGTTACTGAATGCAGCTCAACAGAAAAGGCCTGAGTCAAGTCCTTCCATTCTCATAGGATATGCAGATACTCATGGGATTTGTTTGAGGGCAAGATCCGGTGCTAACACAGAATCATTTCCGAATTTGTGGCTTCTGCACTCAGTGGGAATTTTGAATTAAATTTGATGATGCCAAGACTTTCCTCCTTTAGCTCAAGTCTTGTTTTTCCGAGACAAACAATTGGTAGACTGGAGACACTGGAGAAACACATTATGCAGGATAGTTGC